ATTTAATATTCGTAATATTATTTTCAGCAGTAATATATAATACACCATTCAGATGATTGTTCCGATGTATATTTATAAGTTTATCAAAATACTTTTTTAAGCGGTACGAATTTATTGTCCCCGCTCTATTCTGTATCCATTTATCTAACAATATACTTAGTTGATGGTAAGCTTTTAAGTTTTTTTCGATTATTTGATACTTCAATTTCTTTTGCTTTTTCTTTATTACTTTAGTAACTTCTTGCTATTTTGAACGCCATCCTTATCATTCTAAGCAATTGAAAAACAATTTTTGAAGATTTAAGTCTGTCAAAATCTTGTCTATTTTATCCATCTAGCTAATGACATCTATTCTCCATAGAGTATTATTAATTACATCTATCTATTTCTTGCATTGATTACCTTTTCACTTGTTCCCCGGTAAGTAACTGCTGGTAAAAATGTTGCTTGTCTTGAGGCATCCTTACAATATGTCCAATACATAGACAATCCGGTGTTATTTTGTTATTAGAAAAACAGAGCTTTTGTTTCGCACGTAATTATTTTATTAACCACTTTTGAAACCCTAAAAGCGGTTCACTGTCCTATAGTTTACTACACTATGATTTACTAAATTATCGGAAATACTTTAACTATATATATATTTTTACAATAAATATATTATCAATGATCAAATATATTATCAATGATCAATCTAATTCATCAAATACACTTCCATTATTTTTAGCAGTTACCAATAAATTACAATATCATTGTGATAACATATATGTAGATGTGTACATACAATTAATCGGACTCAAATTTATTAGCAGGCTAAATGCAAAAAAGATTTAAGTGAACAATTCGTATATTATTACCAAACTTTATACACACATAATAATTATAGACAATTATTTATATTTCACTTCAATCACTTTCAATTCCTTTGAAACCTCATATGCCATCCTTGACATTATTTACATATAAAAAACAAATAATTGATCTAATCAACATGCAACAACTTCAACTTACTTAACTTGAACACCCGCTCGATGTACAGCATCTTTAAAATGCCATTTAAAATTATGATGATTTTATATTTCCAGAAATTTAATTATAGAACTGAAAAGGCAAATACCTGCATGAATACCTGCATGAAATGCACGGTATTGTATCTCACAGATAGGTACGCATAACTGATTGATTGGTTATAAAAAACCGATTGGCAAAATTTGAATCAATTTTACGTGCGCACCGCGAAACAAATAGGCAAAAGGTAAGACAAATTATAATGGATGAATCAAAATCCAACGAATGTTATTAGCTAGACACGTAAATTTGAAAGAAAAAACTTTAAATTATTTGTAAGAAAGATGAATACTTTTCAATTTACACACTAATGTAAAAGAGATTATTTAAATTTAATCAACAGCTTTTTATATTAACAAATAAGTACTGTACTAATACATTAAGACCGAAAAGCTTTCGGAAATTCTCATTTAAAATTCGCGCGCTGTATATTTTCCGATATTTTAAGTTTATGTAGTTTGGCAGCACTGTCCTTAATTACTATGCCAAAAATGAGCGCGATCTGTCAGACAGTTCGTTTACGGCAGCTGTTGAAACCAGTTCACCTCAGTAGGGCGTTGCGAAAAAAACAATGGAAAAAAATATTGAACAAAGAGTTTGCATCAAATTTTGTGTTTCGAACGAAATTTCGTGTGCAGAATCGTTGCGAATGCTACAAAAGGCTTATGGGGAATCAGTTTTATCGAAAACTCAAGTTTATGAGTGGTACAAAGCCTTCCAGGACGGTCGTACGACCGTCGAAGACATTTCGCAACGCACTACTGAGGTGAACTGGTTTCAACAGCTGCCGTAAACGAACTGTCTGACAGATCGAGCTCATTTTTGGCATAGTAATTAAGGACAGTGCTGCCAAACTACATAAACTTAAAATATCGAAAAATATACAGCGCGCGAATTTTAAATGAGAATTCCGAAAATTTTCAGTCTTAATGTATGATATGTGAACAGGAAAAAGGGTCGCGAAACGTCATACGAATTCTAAGTTTCCGCAAATCTTAATCACTATGGTGATAATAGTAGACTACTATAGTAAACATTTAAAGTACAAATAATCTATGCATTTTTTATAGATAAGTATAGGAATTTTTTAAATAGTTGTGTAAGTTAACTTGCCCAGATTAAGCTGAATAATCTGGGTGTGAGATGTGCAATCATTTTCATTCTCATTCTGAAAAGTTTAATAATAGATTTTAAATTAAACATTATCATACTTCTAAACATATCTACTACCACAAAGTAGTTTGAACCCGAAAAACCGTTTATTAAGTTCTAATAAATGAGTTATAAACAGAGCATGTTGAGCACTGTAGAGTGCGCGGTCAAAGTTCGGACAAGGTTAGGTTAGTTCGGACAATCGCACTATAATCTTATTCTGTGCAGTGTGAGCTGTAAGATAAAATAAACAGACAAATATGATATTAAGTGTAAATCTCTAAATTATATCCAACGAAAAATAGAATTTCGGTGTGGCTATAAATGGTACTCTGACTTGAAGCAAGCTTGCTATTTAAATATATCACTTTACTCTCTGTAGACTTTTCAACGATATTTATAATGTAAGTACAGCTATACCTCGTCTAATGGACACCTCGTACAACGGCAAACTTGCTTACCGTCCAACTGTATTTCTGGGACCATGTTTCGCTTAACAAAAATACCTTGTTTAACGGCAATGAAAAACTATACATTTTATTTAAAATTTTATTTTGGCTAGGTATAGTATAGTGTATGAGTTGCTTCTGAGTAAATAGCACTGAATCATTGAAATAGTTCAATTCAATACACGTGTTTAACGTAATGTGAGAACAATTAAACGACTCAGTGGTTTTCCAACCAGTGATCCGCGGACCACAGCTGATAAATAGGATGATGTTGTAAAAAAAGAGCGCTAGAAGCGGGATGTGCTGGTTATATTATAGATCACATCAGCCAACTTTTAAAAAACTACAGAGAACAGCTTATAAATGAACAACTGCTAGAGCTAGATGATTTAGAAAACTTCGATGAGGAAGAGGTAACCATATCAGATGATAGAGTTAAACTAAGATCGCAACTGCTGAATAAGTGTTTTGATAGAATTATTGAAGTACTTAGTGACTTTCTCAAGTTGCAGATTCACTTCCCTAGCAAAGCTCGAACGTTCCCAAAAAAGTTGAAGCTATGTAACCATATAAAGAAATTTTAAAGGAGCAGTAAAAGAAGTCATGTTAGCTGACTTTTCGTTTGATATTCGTTTTTTAAACAATCATGAATATATTTAAATAATTTATATAAGTAAATGAATATATATCAGATATAATGATTAAATGTAAGCGATTTCATTTTCTTGAAGTCGTTTTTGTTTTTTTGAACCTAATTTAATTATTTTTCATACATTTGTATGCAATTATTCGTTTCGTTTAACGGCATTTCGTTTTACGGCCAACTTTTTAAGAACGATCGAGGTATAAGTGTATATAGATAAAGCTGAGAAATTCTTGCTGGTTTTACTATAACGAGTAGCAGTTATAATACAACTGGGATAATTGTTCCTCAATTGAAAGTAACGTAAACAATATCTGCACAACTTCGAAAGGCCACGCCAAACTACCCCTATTCATTTA